AGTGTCAACAAGCGTACAAAAGGCATGGATAACAAAAACCTTAGGTTACAAATGCAAGTAAAAATAGGCCAAGTCACCAACGACGTGAATACAATGAATTACTAAAAGAAACATGGGTATCGACGAAAGTTAAAGGTTTGCATATTTTATTTCGTCTCTTCAGTCGTTATATGAAATTGTGTGCGAATCGAATAAACAAACATGCATGACAGTGTAGGCAATTATATATAGGAATTATATTAGAGTATCACTTCATGTCTTAAATAATCAATGTGCTATATTACCTACCCGATGTCTGTAACAAGTAGACCCATGTATGAAATGTTTAAAAAATACTTGTCGCTTTACACATGTGTAGGTCAACTGTGAGGTTTAGGAGTTTGAAATCCTAAGTTAGCCCTGGGTTCTACAGGCTATTGACAACCGTGTGGTGTAAAATAATTTTATGAACCAAACATTTCCTTTTGTTTTCGTACTTTCTCCGTTCCTTTTGTTATGAAGTACGGATTTCGAGTATCAATTTTGTCATGAATTTAAAGGTCAAGAACTTTTTTCTGAAAAGACGCTTACCCTTCCGGAATGCCTGGTCTTGCTATTCCTGTCCTTTTGCAAAGGCCTCCATGAAAATCTTCCCTTTTGTCATTCCTTGTCCTAGTTTCATCAATTTTGAGTTCGTGTTACATTTTTGTTGACACTTCGGTATTACAGTGATTTTCAAACGGACGTCAGCCACATACACTGTATATTTATAATTACACTGAAAAGTATGTGGACAATGTAACGACATTTAAGACGATGAGCCTTGACGTGACTAGTTACATATATGGTAAGGACGGAGAGATAATGTCAATACTGTATGATGACGGCGGTTATGATTTTTATGTCAATATAGTATAGAAATGTCCTCGAGTTATTATGTGAATACGGTTAACTAAAGGTTACGCTCCATTTCATTGTTAATACTGTGTGAAAATGGTAGACCTCGGTTCCATATTTATGTTAAGACAATGTGATATGGTCAATACAGTATGTTTATGATAGTTGTTCTTTATGTCAATATTAAGGTAAGTTATCTTTAGATAGTTATGCATTCTTGTTACTTATTATTTATGAAAATTTAGAATGATAATGGAAACATCCAATATTTATGTCAATACAGTGCGTGAACAGTTGTTTTTTATTCATCATTTGTACAGAAAGAATATAGAAGTCCTACATTTACTTATATTGTCGCTTTTCATCATCCTATTTAACTATAAGATATCTGAAGTCGCTTTTCATCATTCCATTTAACTATAAGATATCTGTAGTCGCTTTTCATCATCCCATTTAATAAACTATAAGATATCTGTAGTCGCTTCTCATCATCCCATTTAACTATAAGATATCTGTAGTCGCTTTACATCATCCTATTTAACTATAAGATATCTGTAGTCGCTTCTCATCATCCCATTTAACTATAAGATATCCGTAGTCGCTTTTCATCATCCCATTTAACAATAAGATATCTGTAGTCGCTTTTCAGCATCCCATTTAACTATAAGATATCTGAAGTCGCTTTTCATAATCCCATTTAACTATAAGATATCTGAAGTCGCTTTTCATAATCCCATTTAACTATAAGATATCTGAAGTCGCTTTTCATCATCCCATTTAACTATACGATATCTGTAGTAGCTTTACATCATCCCATTTAACTATAACATATCTGTAGTCGCTTTTCATCATCCTATTTAACTATAAGATATCTATAGTCGCTTTTAATCATCCCATTTAACTATAAGATATCTGAAGTCGCTTTTCATCATCCCATTTAACTATAATATATCTGTAGTCGCTTTTCATCATCACATTAAACTATAAGATATCTGTAGTCGCTTTTCAGCATCCCATTTAACTATAAGATATCTGGAGTCGCTTTTCATCATCCCATTTAACTATAATATATATGTAGTCGCTTTTCATCATCCCATTTAACAATAAGATATCTGTAGTCGCTTTTCAGCATCCCATTTAACTATAAGATATCTGAAGTCGCTTTTCATAATCCCATTTAACTATAAGATATCTGGAGTCGCTTTTCATCATCCCATTTAATAAACTATAAGATATCTGTAGTCGCTTTACATAATCCCATTTAACTATAAGATATCTGAAGTCGCTTTTCATCATCCCGTTTAACTATAAGATATCTGTAGTCGCTTTACGTCATCCTATTTAACTATAAGATATCTGAAGTCGCTTTTCATCATCCCATTTAACTCAAAGATATCTGTAGTCGCTTTTCATCTTCCCATTTAACTATAAGATATCTGTAGTAGCTTTACATCATCTTATTTACCTATAAGATATCTGTAGTCGCTTTACGTCATCCTATTTAACTATAAGATATCTGAAGTCGCTTTTCATCATTCCATTTAACTATGGGATATCTGTAGTCGCTTTTCATCATCACATTAAACTATAAGATATCTGTAGTCGCTTCACATCATCCTATTTAACTATAAGATATCTATAGTCGCTTTTAATCATCCCATTTAACTATAAGATATCCGTAGTCGCTTTTCATCATCCCATTTAACTAAAAGATATCTGTAGTCAATGGTTCCTTCAAAATGTCAATCTGCTATGAAAGTTACTTTTTTGAAGAAAAAGACAAATTAGCGAAAGATTTTTTTATAGAAAACCATATATGAAGACAGCATATTAAAATATCAATGCCGCACATCAGACGAACAATTTGAGTTCGTGACGTTACTTGGATTTGACCTAGATTTACATAGCGGGTGTCGTTGATGAAGCAGATGACGTTTACCCTCCAGATTTATGGGAATTAAGATAACAAATAATATACAGAACTTGGTAGGCTGTTTACAATAATTATCATAAAAAAAATCAGCAGTATTCTCGTGCACCAGTTTTAATTACCAATTACCTTGACTTTGAGTGTTCTCCCTTCTGTATCGAAGATTAGGCAATTTACTGTCAGTAAATAAGTTTTCTGGAGTTACTTCCCCGGTCAAGTTTTTCATATGCTTTTTGACACATATTGTATAATTCCTGTATCACAACTTTGGTTCCCAGTTCCACACCTAACATTCTTGTTTACTTATTTTTTATTTTTTTAACATTCACTTTAAACTACAACTCTGTCCAGTGCATGGCAACATGTGATTTTAATGAAATTTCTTTTGAAAAGGTCTTTCTGTAAATTTTACAATATAGACAATGACAAGAGCCCCAGAGGGCCTGCATCGCTCACCTGGATATCTAGACAATGACAAGAGCCCCACATCACCTGGATATCTTAGCAATCATGACAATAATTCTCCAAATGAGATCCAAGGGAAGATGCCAGTCCCCAATGCCAATCCTTGTAGCATATCTGTATTAGATTTTTCATGCCCAGCAATTTTAGATATGGTTATGGGGTGGGGATCTCAACTGTTTCCAAGCTGTGACTCTGAAACTAGGTCCCTATGGGTGTGGCCAGAACCCATGATCAATTCTAATATCATGACTGCATTCGTCTCTTTTTGCCCAGCATTTGTATACATAGTTTTTGAGTGGGGATCTCAACCGTTTCAAAGTTATGACCCAGGGGTTAAGTCTGCAAGGGTGGGGGCAGACCCTGGAGTTCATTATAATTTCATGACTGCATTCATCTCTTTACNTACTCAGCAATTGTATATACCGTTATAGGGTGGGGCTCTCAACTGTTTCCAAGCTGTGACTAACAAACTAGGTCCCTAGGGGTTCGGTCAGACCCCAGGGTCTATTCTGATATCATGATGCATTCGTCTTTTTATGCCCAGCATTTGTATATATAGTTTTGGGGTGGGGATCTCAACAGTTTTAAAGTTATGGCCCAGGGACTATGTCTCCAAGGGTGGGGCCAGACCCTAGGGACATCCTGGAAGCAAATGTGCATTCATCTCTTTATACTCAGCAATTGTATACCATGGTGGGGATCTCAACCATTTCCAAGTAAAACACTTTTGTTGGCTCCACCCCTTAGCCTGGGGGGTCAGCCCCACCATTTGTACAATTTTGAATCCCTGCCTCCCATGAATGCTTCTGACCAAACATGATCAATATCCATGGCATATTTCTACAGTATAAGTCGTTTATAGCAATATAGCCAAATTGCCCCCTTTTTGGCCCCGCCCTCAGCCGCCTGGGGGCTCAGCCCCACCATTTGTACAATTTTGAATCCCCACCACCTAGGGATGCTTCCAGTCAAATATGGTTGATATCCATGGCATAGCTCTACAGAAGAAGACGTTTGTAGTAATATAGCCAAATTGCCCCCTTTTTGCCCCGCCTCTCAGCCCCATCATTTGTACAATTTTGAATCCCCACCACCTAGGGATGCTTCCGGTCAAATATGGTTGATATCCACTTCTTAGTTCCAGAGAAGTCGCTTAAAGCAATATAGCCAAATTTACCCCTTTTGGCCCGCCCCTCAACCCCCTTGGGGGTCAGCCCACCATTTGTACAATTTTGAATCCCCACCACCTAGGGATGCTTCCAGTCAAATTTAGTTTAATTCCAATCAGTGGTCAAGAAGAAGACATTAAAGAAATTGTTGACGTAGGACGGATGCAACGGTATGGCATAATAATATAGCTCGACCCTTATCCTCATTTAAGAAATGAATATCAATCCGCCACCACAAGGTGTCCGGATGCATAATTCCTACAATCACCAGGGCCCAGTTGTTCAAAAGTCAGTCAGCTTGGTCACTCTTTAACAATGTTTTTCAACCTTTATTAATTTTGCCAATATATGTGAAAACTCACAATTTCGCATGTTAATTCACTCTGCTAAATATTTGATATCTGGAGAGTTGTAACTAATTAAAAGGTTGTGCTTCAAGATACAAAAGATAAAATTTGGGCTAATCACTGATTAAGCTAATCCCCTTCTAAACAATTTGGCCCGGATGTCAATAAACGTCTTAACCACAAATATCACATAAAATAACAACACAACTCGGGTTTAGATCTAAAAGGTTTATTTCATCAAAGTTTCAGGTGTCAGTTATCTGTTATGGCGTGAGAATTCCAATACACAAAGAAATGAAAGACGTCCGAAGGAAAAAAAGGTCTCCGCACTAATCTGACTTCACTAGTGACCGTTCTGACTAAATAACACAACTCCAGACACCCAGGTCATCCGACTCAGTATCACAGCACAGGTCAAAGGTCAATCACTCAATGACTTGACCTTGATGTAAAGGTCATAGGTCATACAAAACAACACAAAGGACAGGTTAAGGAATGATTGCGCAAGTGACCTGTTCTAGTTCAAAAAATGTGGTAAGACAAGCTGTAGGTCAATCACAACATGCATATTTAACAGAGTTTAAATTCAACATCGTCAGAAACGCCCTAGGAAGCAGAGGAATCCACACCAACTACCCAGGCCTTTGTAACTCACTTTGGTCTAGTGTTATTGGTACAGCTATAAGTTGTTCAACTTGACAATATTTATACCTTTGGCAATTGAATAGTGAATGTTCATAAGACAAAAGACCCACGTTTAATTATACATCTGGTAATATAATTTTCTGTGTATCCCCATGATAAAAATCTCTACACCACCATTTACGGGATGTCCTAATCGAGTCCTTATAGTAATAATGCAGAAAATAACAAAAAATCCTACTTTCATAACGGACTTGTATAGAAGTCTAATCAGAACTCTCCCAGACTTTCAGGCAAGATGACTTATTTTGCACAAAAGTTTTCAATTAAAAATATCAACAGCAAAAAAAAAATTAAGAAAAAAAGAAACAAAAACAATTAAAACAATAGCTTTCCTGATTTCTTTCTTTTCAATTTAATGAAAAATGTATTGCTTGGTTATATATTATTATTATTATTATGCCTAAATATTGGTACGGAGTTATTGGCCTTGACATACATAAGAGGTACCATATCTTGGAATGTAGCTCGTCCACTTTCTGTTGCGTATACTTGATGTATGCCTAGGTCTCTATATCATCTAGGACAGAAGGTATGAGCAAAGATGAATAGCAACACAAATACATAAACAATTCACAACATATGCATTCTTGTGTTATATATATATGGTAATGCAAATATCCACAGGAGCATTTGACTAAATCTTCACATACACATCGAACAGTATAAACATTTTACTGCAAATATCCATGTGAAAAGTTGAAGGCAAATCTTCTCGTGGATATCCACTGCAAATATCGACCTTAACATTTCACTGCAAATATCCCAAAAAGAGCATCTCAGTGCAATCTCAACCAAATATGTTTAACAAATAAATGTTAACCTTGAAAAATATATCACGATAAATGCATTTAAAAATCTCTACCTAACAAACCAGATCCCCATTTGACAAAACAAACTTGCAATGACAAGTGTCAATATGGTTCTGCAAACGACGCAAGAAGCAAGATTCCTGGGTGAAACGGGGACCAGACCATTTTTTTTTTATATATTTTTCCTCTACATCTGTACAAAATTTACGCTAGGTTTCTCTACGTGCAAAATTTTCATTAAGCGATTTTAACACAACTAAAAAAAAAAGAAATTGCAGAAAATCAACAAAGGTCGAATATTAAACATTACATTATCAAAGACATCCTGCAAGGAAAGATAACTCTAATACTGCAATGAACACAACTCTAGGTCGACCTGTTCCAGGTGTTTATTGTTCCCATTATAAAATGTTATGACTGTCTAACCACACTCCTAATCAGTTGCCCTACAACCTTTGCTAAATCTGCAGTACATAAAACAATAAGTAGAAATTAATTTAAAAAACGGTATTAAAATCTTTCGATATAAAAACAAAAGGACAGCTTTGGTTTCCGTTATTCTGCCCGTGGCTTCCGGCAAATATATTTCCTTTACATAATCAGATCTTATAAATTCTTTTCAGACAACCCCTAAAATTAGCTTAACACAATCAAAAGGGTATAACGCCGTTTTATTTTGATTCATTTTGATAAATTATTGCAACATATTCCCAGGTATTCAGACCTTTTGCTTCTATAAATGCAAATTCACACTACAAACACTGGAAACATGGGAAATTCAGATGTTTTACCTATAGAGGCATGAATGAATATATTGTGTCCTTTCTTGAAATAATTTTCATAATGTATAACAATGTAGTATATGTAAAATGAATCGGAGTAGAAGTAATAAAAACAAGTTTTAAAATCATATGGTTTCACTTAAGTCGACGCCACAAACTGTCCAGCACAGGGACCAAACACCCATACAAAAACACCTACACGACAACACATACGGGCACATACATATCTCCTAGATCCAATTCAAGCCTCAGGTTATCGTCGGCCTATTTCAGTGCAAATATTGTTATTTGTTTCACTATAAACCAAATCAAACAGAATCTGTCATCTTTATTCCTTACATCCTGTGATATTATGGCAATATGATAATATTAATGTACAAAGATAGTTACATCGTTTTGTCCATCTCGATCTTCTTCATGTCACAAACTGATACAAAATTTTCTATTAAAAGATTTTGCTTTCACCAATTGCGGCGGGCCTTCCTGACGGAGATCACGTCACCACCAAGCCCAACAGTACATATCTACAATCACTTCTCATGAGATGTTGTTGCCGATACCAGACCGAATCTACATCATTTTATATAAACACATTCCATTAAATTGAAAATTCTTTATACAATTGAAAAAATCTAAGTTTGTCTTTTTGTTAATAATAGGTTTCCCGTTCCACAAATCCGCCTGGGCTTCGCCTGATGATGGTCTTTCTGCTTTCATCATAAATAAAGATGGCCAAACTGAATGGCATAGCGGGGAACCACCAAGTCCACCTGAAAAAGATAAAAAGAAATATGTCAGAAAACCAATAGCCACCGTGTTCCCCGGGAGCCAACCCTATTTAAGGCGGTCTCATCCTTTTTATGAGGCCAACAAAAGTTGATAACTTGGTTCTCAGGCCTGCATGCATTTCATTTTAGGGCACCGCATTGCCGATTTTATCGTGAAAGTAATAAAAAAAAATGTGAATGCGCCAGCTGCCGTCTTTAAAAAAATCCGGAAAATTTGTCCTCATGTCATTTTTACTCGTTAAGTCACCCAAGTCCCGAAAACCTTTGAATAAAGATAGGGTTGATGTACAGGCAAGCGTTAAAATGATTATGACTTATTAGTTTTGTGTGCTTGCCTCCTTGTGATAGCGCAGAACTGATGCTGACGATAAAATGTCAAAGGGCAAATACTGTCATTAAACAACCCTTGCTGAATGTATTTTGAAACTTTAATACGTACCGAAGATTTTGCATACGGAGACCCTGATCAAGACCTGGGCAATATGTAAGGAATGCAGCCAGTGCTGTCTCAAAGAACAGCCCAAATGTAAGATGGTGATTTCTGTGGAAAACGAAAACAGTTAATTAGAAAACATCAAGTCAACACTTCAGCCCAATCCATAAGCAAATTGAACAACAATGATTATAACAATTTAGGGTATCCCAAGTATTTGTTGCTGTTTGCTGGTAAAATTCATATTCACCCAGATTTAGTTTCATCTTCACATTTTATTACTGTGCATATAATGTCGTTAATACTTGCACAATTTGGGAATCATTTGTGCACAATTACAGATTTCGGATTTCAGGTCCAGCATCAAACAGATTAGATGAGGTATAGTGAACAAATAAGTTCAATTAAAAGATGTTTATCCCTTCACCACTGTGGACCACCATGAACTCATCCAGATAAATGTATGGTAGAGACTACTAAAGTTACATAGGGGTGAAAGGGTTAGATAATCCAATAAAGTCTTACTTCATTCCCTGTTGGAACAGAGAAAGCCTCCTTGTTTTACAGATGATGAGATCGGCCCACTGGACCACCACAATGGACACGAAGAAAGCGGTGTGACAGGTGTACTCCAGAGTCTTCCGCTGGTCGTAGGTCTACAGAAAATACATCGGTTTCAGGTTACAACTTCGTCCAAGTATACGAATATTAACACTGCTTTTTCAAGAATAATTTCTCAGTATTCAAATTAAACTCAAAACAAAAATTATGATAATACCATTTGTGGTCAATATTTTAGCAGAAATAAAACAATTATTACACAGGTTGTTTAGTATAGTATTTAGATGAATTTCTGATATTCCCTTCCTATGGTGTGATATATTGGACAAAATATTTTAAGTGTTCTGAGCAAACATATCCCGAAATAATCCACGGAAATGTATAATTAATAATACATGTAAAGTATCGGATAACATTTTGTTTCACTCGATTAAAAACGGATACAAAGAACTTAAACTTCAGTTTAAATTGGTCATTAGTAAATTAACGGCCCTGGGAAGTTACTTGAAAACTATACATGGTACAGAGTGATTAGAGAGAAATTGATCGATGTGAACGGAAAACGTTTTCTTGATAGTTAACTTAGGCTTCAGAAAATGGGCCTCCCATACAGTTTGTTCTGGGTTACAATTTTGTTTTGATCTCTGTAGCTGTGATGCTATGACCTACCCATTCCGTAGGAATCCTGATAGTTAACTTAGGCTTCAGAAAATGGGCCTCCCATACAGTTTATTCTGGGTTACAATTTTGTTTTGATCTGTGTAGCTGTGATGCTATGACCTACCCATTCCTGTCCATAGGAATCCTGCAAATCATTGACAGCCTGGGCGTCCCACTGTTCACGTATACCCAGAAGCTTGCTGATCCAGAAACCATTCTCACTATGGATGACAAAGTAGACAAAGAATCCGGCAGAGGCCTGGATCATACCAATCTGTCCATAGGCCATACTGATCAATCTGTGAAAGGAAGGTAAGCCAAAAAATATAGCAAAACTCAAGGATCAATCCAAAATGCAAAATAAATCAAAGATCATTTAAATTTAACTTTCTTTCTTAGTCCATTCCAAATAACGCCTTTGTATCACTTCCAAACAGATTTTTAAAGCCTTATTTTTTTTTCATTTTCCTTTATTTTGTAAAACATTTTATGATTTTGACCATTTACAATCACCCCAGTGTGAGCCAACACAGAAATCAGCCAACTGCTTATCAAAATAAAAAGGAACTAACGTTCTACAATTTGAGGTGAAATACCATGAGAATCCTGATTATACACATGAGAATACTGATTATACACATGAGAATACTGATTATACATATGAGCTCCCGAATCTACCTTACCTTTCATTGACTAGTTTATCCTTAACAGGATCACGGGGCTGTCTCTTCATGATGTCACTCTCGGGTCCTTCATAGGCCAGTGAGATAGCGGGTACCATGTCAGTTCCCAGGTCAATACACAGGATGGTGATGGTTCCGAGGGGCAGAGGGATATCGAGGAGGATGAAGAACAGGAAGGGGCTGATCTCGGGGATGTTAGATGTAAGGGTGTAGGCAATAGACTTCTTCAGATTGTCAAAGATCAGACGGCCTGCAAACAAAACACACAATTATTTTAAAGAAACATTAAATTCCATTTTCACTCAAAGTTTGAAAAATATCCAGCACGGCTATCAAAATCACCTCTTTCAAGAGAATATGTAAAGGTTTTCTCTTGTACATTTTTCTGCATCTCTTTTTAACCTATCAAATGCAAAACATTTGTTTTTAAGAATAATTAACTGAGGACTGAAAAACATGGAGGTTTTATCGATATAATATCTATGCAGACTTACCCTCTTCTACTCCTGTAACAATGGACGCAAAGTTGTCATCCAACAAGATCATGTCAGCAGCCTGTTTGCTCACGTCACTTCCAGCAATGCCCATAGCAACACCTACACAACACAAATCAATAACAAACTAAATACCCATAGCAACACCTACATAACACAATTCAATAAACTATACATTACAGTATTTTGTATAGATTAAAATGTAAAAAATATCCCAGGTGTATTGATGCATGCAATATTTGCTCTGCAGGAAGGATATTGATTTCTTTGACAGGCAGCTCTGATTCAGTCTGAGGTAAATACTTCTTAAAAAATGTTTCAACATTTACTGTTTGATTTTTTCTTTGAAAGAGGTTTACTGCATTGGTTTTGCCAATGTTTATCCAATTCATATTCAAAATGTTGACGAGTTCCTAACGCTGCACATCCCTATTAGACTACAGAACTTACCGATATCAGCCTTTTTGAGAGCGGGAGAATCATTGACACCATCACCAGTGACCGCCACGATCTGTCCCTGCCTTTGGCAACCCTCCACAATAATCAGCTTCTGTTGTGGTGAAGTTCTGGCAAACACAATCTCAGGATGGTCTCGGAGGATTTCATCAATCTGGGCTGGGGTCATGTCCCTGAGGTCAGCTCCGTGGATGACAGCTGCGCGAGCATCTCTGGGGTCAACATCCTCAACGCTGATTCCACGCTCAGCTGCGATGTCCTCTACAGTCTTGCTGCCGTCGGAGATGATACCGACACCCTTAGCGATAGCCTTGGCTGTGATAGGATGATCACCAGTAACCATGATAACCTGTAAATATAAACAGGTGTCCACTCTTAATCTCTCATACAAGTGTTTTTGTTACCTAAATTTTACAACTGCCTGTTCCTTAAATGAATTAGGAAAATGTAGCAATAATATCACTGCATACAAACCATAGCTAGAGCAATGTTCGATCAAGGTTGTGGATACATCAACTAATCAGATTTTAGCTGCCTTTTTAACATTTAGGAGTAGGTCAGAAACTGGTTTCAATAGCAGACTGTATCACCCTAAAATTTATCTTCTGGTTTGATGAAATCTGGTGGAAACTATAACTATTCTATAATTTACAGATACTTTAACACATTTTATCCTCTGACAATATTCAACTTATACTTGACAGTCACTAGAACTGAGGAGTGTGGGTCTGGCTTCTGTGTAAGTGTACATATTGTTCACTATTGTAGTTTCTTTGTATATTTGTTGCTTTGTTATTTGCCTTCAAGTTACTATGTAACTATAAACGAGCCATAAAAAAACTATTGAATTGAATTATAAGGAGGATTTATTTGGGGTCATCGGATACTTTATACCAAATTAAAAATTCAAAAGCTTTTGATGGCAACATTAACCAGCATCAAATCACAGTACATACCTTGATTCCAGCACTTCTGCATTTTCCAACAGCATCAGGTACAGCGGCCCTAGGGGGATCAATCATGGACAAGAGGCCGACAAAACGGAGCCCAGTCAGAGGGAAGTTTTCCTCCTCACTGTCAAAGGGGTATCCTGGCTGGAACTGGTCCGTGGGAAGGAAATGGTCACAGAAACCTGTTGGATACAAACAAAGCATTAATTATAAGATCTTTCCATCTCCTGGAAATTGTGTTATATGTCATGTAATCGGGGAAAATCCTGGAATTTCAGAGAGGTGGGACATTTTCAGCAATTTTAAGTCAATTTCAAAGTTAATTAAGAGGAGTCATTTATGTAAAATTTTAAAAATATTGGAACATGGAGGGGTCAATGGCCCCCTCCAGGATTATCCCTGTGTAATCTGTATAATATATAAAGATTTGTGAAACCTGGATATCTAAGCAATTATGACAAAATATTCTCCAAATGAGATCCAAGGGAATATGTTGCATATCTGTATTAGTTTTTCATGCCCAGCAACTTTATGTATGGTTATGGGGATCTTAACTGTTTCCAAGCTGTGACTCAGAAATTAGGTCCCTAGGGTCGTGACCACGACAGACACCACGGTATGGCATTAGCTCACCTTGGTCCTTCAGACTAAGTGAGCTAACAAATATACAATCGGAAGTCCCATAAAGACAAGACTATTGGATTCCCAAACTACTGTGTGTACGAACGGTCACAGTGAATTCAATACAAAAACAAACTCTGCACCAATTCTATGACATTTAAGCCAAAAAAATAAACCCATCAAACTGAATCATTTTTTTAACAATTTTCTGTCCTCCTTTTCCGTTAAGTGTTCTTACCTAAGACACGTTCTCCAAGACCTCCCAACTCCATGTAAGCAGCATTGAAGGCAGTCCTGAAGTTGTCATCCAATGCGATATCCTTGCCATTGAACAAGACAGTTGAGCATCGGTCCAGAATCCTTTCAGGAGCTCCCTTCATCACCAACAAGTAGCGAGGATCATCAGGGATCTCTGTCTCGTGAACAGACACCTACACAAATTGAATGACATGTTCAGTGATGTACAACTTTACACAAGAATATCACCATTTTGTTAAGGGTAAAAGGGTTAAAATTGTAAAGATTTTTTTTTTATTAATTCTTTTGAAAGAATTTCTGTCCAAGTTAACTAGAGTGAATATTTAAGTTTCATTTTCAGATTGTTGATAATTTTACTTTTCCATTGGTTTAACAGGTCAGAAATGTAAGCACATCAAATCTGTACTGACCTGGTATTTGTTGGAGGAGTTGAAGGGGATTTCACAGATTTTCTTGTTCCTGTGACGGAAGCCAGTCACATCGCCAATAGACAGTTCCACACACTTGAGCAGGGCAGACTCGGAGGCATCTCCGTTACACTCTCTGTAAACAATCCAAGTTGTTAAATACATGAATTTAAATTGCAATGAGACCAAATTTACATTAAGGTTAGGTATGCAAACCTTTTTTTCTCTTTAGATAAAGCCATAATCTATCAGGAAGACGTTCAGGTATTATAACCAATTTGACAAATGACCTTGAATACATGTCAAGGTCATTTTTGTTTTAATAATGCAACATTCTGTTGGCAACATACCAATCAAATATACTAAATTAAAAAAAAAGGGTTCTAATAGGAAAATTAAATTTCTTGATATACTTGTACCACTGTAACCTTGAAAGATAATCAGGAAAGACAGCCGCTCAAAATCAAAAACATTTCGCCTACAACACATGAATGTGTTTTATTCAGGTATCCTTACCTCTTCAAGACGGGTACATTTTCTTGGCCAGATTTGAACTCAGCCCTGTTACACAACATAGAGACACGGGCCAGAGACATCCAGGTCTCATCACCAGCGCCGTAGGTGGCATCTGTAGTAACAAAAGTTTACCTTCAAACATTGATACATATTTATATATATATATTTATCTGTTAAGATAACATTGTCTATCCGTTAGATATACAAATGCTCGATTCAATAGTTGGAATTTACTATCACTTGAGATTTCATGTGCTTCAAGTGTAGAAACGTTAACACGTTTTTAATGTTGCAGTAATTGAAGAAACAATGCCAGAAAAATCCTTTTGAGGTTGAGCGGGGGGCACTCAAAGGCCCCCTCCAATAACACCAATGGGACTGCTTTAGCCTCAATTTTGGCCCCAATAACTAGACAGTAATTTCTGATATTGTTAGCAATATCACAAAGGAAGTTAAACTTCACCGATTTTCATCAGTTCTCAATGTTACTCAGAAAAAGTGCAGGAAAAGTTATTGGATTTCTTACATCTTTTAACTAACCCCAACCTGGGAAAACGATAAGACCTTTAAATGAAAACCCCCTATATTCTCATTTACAGGTAAAAATGTGAAATTAAAGATTTGATATTTACAATTTACACAACAAATATATATATTAAATCACACATCAAATATATGCACACTTAAATAAACGTACATCTGTTAGCACAGGGATTTGTTACCAGATGGGTTTAAACATGTGCCCTCCAAAGAGAAAATATTGGGATATATTCTAGAAATTTTATTGAAATATTGAACGACAATGCAATTTTTGAAGGTCATCTTCTCACGAGTTAATGGTTTTGCATTAATAGTCGCAGAAACGAACAGGTACAATTCATTTTCTGTACATGGCCTTTTTCCCAAACTAACTGGCAAAATCCCTGTGCAAGAATCACATATTATAAAACAATAGGGGAACAGGTGTGGTGCTCCATTATGTGTTAGCTCCAGCTCAACTCGTGTAATACTTCACTCTTCACAACTGTTGTAGTTTAGCACATTAGCAATCGTGTATAATCACACTACATATAGTACAGCAGGGATCAATCAAAGTCATGTAAATAATCACTCATTTCTGGTGTCCAAAATGCTCCTACTAATTAATTGTTACACTATCTATAAATCTGCTATTATCAACAATAAAAAAACACAAATTAATTTGTTACAAATCTTCACTATTTTGAATTTCGTGGAATGAATTTTCCCCCTAGTTTTTTGAAATGTAGATCTAGATTGATCCCTGCTGCAGGAGACAAACCGTGCTTTTCAAACCTAGTCAAATTAAATTTAGTTCAAAACAACTGTTCAATCAATACACTCAGTGTGGTGCTATCTGTTAGGTGCTGATTGCTATGGTGTATACCTTTATTCTTGATAGAAGACACTATTGATTAAGAAAACATACAACAATGTCTAAAATATGTGTAAACAAATCAGGTATGCAGTATCAACAGAAGTGGCTATTTTGTATTTAACTTTAGAAAGAAATGCGAAACACTTTATTTGAAAAAGATCCCAAAACAACATGTTCAAATGCTTCTAAAACAGAGTACATATTATGAGGAGTAAAATCCAATTATTTGGCACTCACAAGACTCAAATGTCTTGACCTGCATGATCTTTCTAGTTTGAATTACAAAAGTAGAATACCTAGACAACCATTTTATTTTGTTCCCACCAAACAGCATCTGTACATTCTTTACATAAAACCTCATTATCTCCCCTATATCCAATCACTTGGTCATGTAACAAAATTTCAGAAATTTAAATTGAATTTCAAAGTTTCAATCTACAAACTGTTACGTCATGGCATGATCAATTTTACCAAAAGCTAATTCGTTCTCTTTATATTAATCTATAAATCCTGTCACAGATCAATCCTTGAGGTTGAAATTGAATCAATCACTGTTAACTTATATTTCTTTCATAGGTTGTATAACATTGTCTTTAGGGCAGGCAACATTTCCACTATAAAACAGTGGTGGTTCTTTTCTACCAATATCACTTAACCCTCATGAAACATTTCCAGTTTATTTTCAAAACCTTTTAACCATATGATTTTTAATAATTCACATCATCTAAGACATCAGATAGAATAGCTTGCTATGAGACCTTTAAAGTGAAAAACACTACTCACTTGACTGATCGTCACTTGTGTCAGCCTCAACAATGTGTCCGTCGAACCACATGTGGGCGACTGTCATTCTGTTTTGGGTGAGTGTTCCAGTTTTATCAGAGCAGATGGTGGAAGTAGATCCAAGGGTCTCGACAGCCTCAAGATTCTTCACAAGACAGTTCTTAAGGGCCATACGTTTGGCAGTCAGAGTCAAGCACACCTGATGGAGAACAAGATACCAAACTCACAATTTGCACAAAAAATTATGTATGCTGCACTGATTTGCTGGAAAACGTTCAAACATAGGCAATTTTCTATAGATGGAAGTCTTGTTAAATAGAAATTGACAAATTCAGTAGCAAATTGGTAATTTGCAATTATAAAATGATGAAAGCAAATTAGATTATTCATACATTTACAATTGTAAGAGATATAGCTGTCAGTGGGTTTTTTCTATTAGTTTTACAGCCAAATACAGCCTGTTTCACCCAGCCAAATACAGACTGTTTCACCCAGCCAAATACAGACTGTTTCACCCAGCTTAATACAGACTGTTTCACCCAGCCAAATACAGACTGTTTCACCCAGCTTAGTTTCACCCAGCTTAATACAGACTGTTTCACCCAGCTTAATACAGCCTGTTTCACCCAGCTTAATACAGACTGTTTCACCCAGCTTAATACAGCCTGTTTCACCCAGCTTAATACTGCCTTATTTTCCAAAAATGACCAAAAAGAGGAATATTTTCCAAATTTCAAAAACATTCTGCTATACTGTTGTACAATTCAGGTAATAAAACCCCTGGCTGTGGTAGGAGACTTACTGTAACAGTAGCGAGGAGACCTTCGGGCACATTAGCTACAATGATACCGATCAAGAAAATGACAGCATCAAGCCAGAAGTATCCGAGGATGAAAGCAATGATGAAGAAGGAGACGCCGAGGAACACAGCGACACCGGTGATGAGGTGGATGAAATGGCCAATTTCCTTTGCAATGGGAGTCTCTCCAACCTCGAGACCTGAGGCAAGATTGGCAATACGTCCCATCACAGTTTTATCTCCGGTCTTCACAACAATGCCACGACATATACCTATACAAAGAAAATCATTATAAACTTTATAAATCTGACTTGTACAGGGAAAATCGTGGAAATTGAGAGCAGTGGACCGTTTCAGCAATTTTTAGTCAATATCAAAATTATAAGCAAATTGTAACATGGAGGGGTCAATTTCTGGTTTGAGGGATCAATGGGCTAGGCCCCCTTAAGGATTATCAGTGTTTTTATAATGAAATTAAAACAAGATGCACAGCCAAAACAACTATGGCTTCCAGACTTCAATCAACTGGCCCAGGTCAATCATATTTGCAGCATATCAGGCCATTAGCCAGCCACCTGTCCAGACAAGCAGTTTTCTGAAAGGGACCTATTTTGACAGGCAACTTTCCTCTCTATAACCTTACTATTGTACATCAATTTTGACAGGCAAATTGGTCAAATTAGTGATTATATCAACATTTTGGACAGGGACATTTGATATCCTGGCTAAAAGGCTGAGGCAAATGCATATTTCACTGTTCAAAGTTAAATTCCTACATATTTCGGAACTCTTCATAATTAGAAAGGATAAACTCACCTTCAACAGCATTTGTGGAAAAGAAAGCAAGATTTCTTGTTTCAAGTGGGTTTTCATTGGTGAAGTCAGCTGAGCGGGAACATGGTTCAGATTCTCCAGTCAGGGAAGAGTTATCAACCTTGAAAACAACAAAACCAATGTAATAATTTTCTTATGTTACATACATTGAGGAAAAGCAGAACTAAATACAATTAACAGACCACAGATAACTAGAAACTGCACATCTAAGTTACCTTAAACATTTCAAGCTTCGACATAATTGGGATGTCTAAATTATATCATGTGCAAATTTTGAATATGCATTTTAAGGTTTATATTTCCTCAGATAAACATTAAATAGTAATTTTTGCATAAGTTCTGTTTAAAAACAAAGCACACTTAAAATTTTGTATATAGACCAATTTTGTTTTTAAGTTTTATCAAGAAAGTTTAGGAAGTGAGAACATGAAGGTTCAAAAAGTACACTATATGACTCAAAGAAAATCATGTTGAAACTAGCACATCAACCACACTCAGACATTACAACATTAGATAGAAAATACCTTAAATCCTTGTGCGGATATAACACGGACATCTGCTGGCACACGATCCCCAAACTTCACGTCAATGACATCACCCACCACAAGATTTTCGGCTTTGGTGTCAATTTTCACTCCACTTCGTGTCACCAGGGCAAACTGTAAATTAAGAATAATAATTATTAAGCAATAGTCAAGTAACCAAAACATTATCATTAATTTCCCACTGAGCGCAAGATCTATTTCAAAATTTAGTCACGTGGAACACATGTAATATCATTTCATTGTCAAGGCAAGGGAGATAAGTTGGTCAAATGTTTTGATTTAATGACTGTTTTAAAGCTTAATTCCTGTAACAACAGGGGTCGACACTAACACTAGTACCCTAGTCCTGGACTAGTGTTCCATATTACAGACGATTACTTTTGATGTGTCATGCTGTAGATATTTCCTTATCAGGAAATCGTGGCCTCGTTACATCGACAAAGGACTAGTAAATAATCTATTCAACTAGTCCTGTGGACTACCAAGCAAAAAAAGTGTCTAACCCTGAATAACATACCTGAGGGACCATGCTCTTGAAGGAATCCATGATCTTGGAACTCTTGGCTTCTTGGTAGTATGAGAAACATCCAGTAACAACGACGACACCGGTCAACACAATTCCAAGGTACAACTGTAACAGGTTAGAATTAATTAAGTACAACAGAACCAGTTTGTACACAAATGATAACATTGACTAAGCTAGAAAATATCTGTAAGAAATGTCCCCAATCTCATTCTAATTAGTGTCAGTATTTGACAAGTTTAAATTTTAGTGATTGGTTACAGTGACCTTAATCAAATACTGTTATCAAAAGAAAAATTCCAATTTAACAATTCTTCGACAGCTCTGAAATAAAAAAATTCGCATTTGGTCCTGCCAGTGTTCATCTTTTTATATTCCAACTGTTGAATTTAGCTGGAGCCTAAAAATACTTAATGCAAGAATAACAGCCTGTCATTTTATTCTGTAAGTTTTAAAGGGTTTCAACCCTTCTCAATATTACCAGTTTCATAGTTAGAAATGACTATAAAAGGACTTGCACCTTGTTGACCGACAGAAGTTACTTACGTTATCACCTGGAGGGTCGTCATACTGACTGGCTTGGATGGAGTACGCGATGAAACAGAGGATGGCTCCAATCCACAGAAGCATGGAGAAACCGCCGAACAACTGTTTACAAAACTTGACCCATTCAGGTGTAGTAGGGGGTGGTGTCAGCTCATTGGGGCCATCTCTGGCCAAAACCATAGCAGCTCTCTCAGTGGTCAAACCCTAAAAACAGAGAACCTGAGGTTAACAATTTGTTAACACATGATTATCATGAAATTCCAGCCTAAAACCTGTTTTTACCGAAAGAGACAGAATTTATTTTGAATTACTGTTTGTAGTTTATTCTGAGAAATACAGGGCAACATAACTTACATTGTTTGGATCAGAGCCAAGCCTTTCATACAGCTCTTCAATTGGGATCTTGTGCTCGTCCATTTCAAGCTCCTGTTTGAGCTCATCCAAGTTCTCCTTCTTCCTCTTTTTCTTGCTTTTCTTGACATCTTCCCCACCTGGTGTGATAGCTACTCGGTAGCTGTCAGCCCGAGGCTGTAAAACAGAAATAACAAACATTACACATCAATACCAACTGAACAATTGTTTAACATTTAATAAATTCACATCAGAAAATAATGGCACTCTGTTCATAGCATTACAGGACCCATCTGTTGGTGACACAGTGGTGTGGCCCCAGACTTACAAAGGTAGCTGATTACATGGTTAATAAAGGCCCCCATCTGTTGGTGACACAGTGGTGTGGCCCCAGACTTACAAAGGTAGCTGATTACATGGTTAATAAAGGCCCCCATCTGCTGGTGACACAGTGGTGTGGCCCCAGACTGACATAGGTAGCTGATTACATGGTTAATAAAGCCCCACATCTGTTGGTGACACAGTGGTGTGGCCCCAGACTTGCATAGGTAGCTGATTACATGGTTAATAAAGCCCCACATCTGTTGGTGACACAGTGGTGTGGCCCCAGACTTACAAAGGTAGCTCCTTACATGGTTAATAACGGCCCACATCTGTTGGTGACCCAGTGGTGTGGCCCCAGACTTACATAGGTAGCCGATTACATGGTTGATAAAGGCCCACATCTGTTGGTGACACAGTGGTGTGGCCCCAGACTTGCATAGGTAGCTGATTACAGGGTTAATAAAAGCCCACATCTGTTGGTGACACAGTGGTGTGACCCCAGACTTACATAGGTAGCTGATTACATGGTTAATAATGGCCCACATCTGTTGGTGACACAGTGGTGTGGCCCCAGACTTACAGAGGTAGCTGATTACAGGGTTAATAAAGGCCCACATATGCTGGTGACACAGTGGTGTGGCCCCAGACTTACAGAGGTAGCTGATTACAGGGTTAATAAAGGCCCACATCTGGTGGTGACACAGGTGTGGCCCCAGACTTACATAGGTAGCTGATTGCAGGGTTAATAAAGGCCCCCATCTGTTGGTGACACAGTGGTGTGGCCCCAGACTTATATAGGTAGCTGATTACATGGTTAATAAAGGCCCCCATCTGCTGGTGACACAGTGGTGTGGCCCCAGACATACATAGGTAGCTGATTACATGGTTAATAAAGCCCCACATCTGTTGGTGACACAGTGGTGTGGCCCCAGACTTACAGAGGTAGCTGATTCCATGGTTAATAAAGGCCCACATCTGTTGGGGACACAGTGGTGTGGACCCAGACTTACATAGGTAGCTGATTACAGGGTTAATAAAGGCCCACATCAGTGACATAAAGTCTGCTGTCAAGTTACCAATAGTGTCTAAGGCAAGTTAGCAAGATCTGTCTATAGACTTATGTTCTTGGTCACAACTTGGGACACAATTGAGACTCCACCCTATGCCGGTATATGCTGGATATCGACCGACTTAACATAATCAAGATACCAGTATTGGACTTGGGATCTGTCCCAACACTAAGAGACTTAGTCCCTGGGGCTGGGTCATAGATGGAACTGATTCAAATGACTTTTTTTAACAAGATCAAAATAGGTTGAGTTATTTACCAAATGTCTAAATGATGTGATAAATATAAAAAAAATAGAAAGAAGAGCCAATACCTAGTGTAACCTGTAAAACATTCATCATAACACCTATGAGTGTTTGCCCTTGTTTATATAATAACACATTGCTCAATGAAAATAGTAAAGGTATCATAAAATAGATTCAATCACAACAGGATTGTAATTGAATCTATTTTATGATGTTCTCACTTTTACCCAATCCCCTGCATACTTTCGGGTATCCCGACAAGGAGCCAAGGACCCGATTATTCCACTATTAAGAAAACCACCGTGTTGGCTCTACCCTTGCCTTGTTTTAACGTTTTAAGTAGATGCACACCCAGTATAAATAGAATTTTCAAAAGTTATATAAGAGTTATTTTGTTGTTATTTCAAATTGTTTGCAATAACTTAACAATACACTTTGATTATTTAGTAATATTTTTTTATTCAATGGCTTTTCAGCCAAATGATACATGATTTTCATAAGGAAAATGACATGAGAATTTAGCTTTAGTTTGTTAATACTTTCATCCTATTAAAAGGAAAACCATTATAGCATGAGCCAAGAGTTGAGAATAAAAACATCCAGTCTGGCAAGTATTTGGCGACTGCTCGAGATCGGGCTCCAATTGTTGTAAATGTATTATAAAAAAAAGTATTGTTATAACACCAATTAATGATAGTTAACCGATATTTTTTTTCTAAATTCCAGCTTTAGCAGGTTGGGGAAAACCACAACTTGGAGTATGGATTTGTTACCAAAAATAACACAAATCGCTTAACAGTAACTTTTGCAAGATGTTATTAAAACTCGCATTAATTTACGACTAGGTAAATAATATTTTGCTAAAAGATGTTTACCGAAAGTGTTGGCTACTTAGAAACTTGATGTAACTTTACCAGAAGTATTGCATCTATTTTTGGTACTTTCCCACATGCAAATAAAGTTTATTTTTGCATTTGTATTTCGTTTCATGACTGAATAAATGCGACTTGGACAAATAATTTGAAAAAGTTGTGATTTAAGTGATTTTGGCTATTTTTAGTAACAAATCAATACCCCTATTGGCGTTTAATAGACGAGTTTGCATATTATACGCAAGTTAGTGGTTTTCCCCGACCTGTTAAGAGCTATACAGTAGGATTTTTCTCATTTTTGGGGGGCAAATCTTTAAAATAAGCTGAAAACAAAAAGGCTAGAACTTTGAGTGATTTTTATTTGATTACATCACAGCCTGGCTCATATTGTGAAGTTACGCACCCAAGCTTTTGGACATATCAGGTTATCATTTTTTGTTCATACTTCTGACCAAATAATAAATAATTTCAATAATATGCATGAAATGCATGAATATAGTGAAACTAGATTCTATTATGCAAAGCTATATATTGTATCTATGATAAGTACTGAAGGTTGCTACATGTTCATATCATAAATGTCGGATAACTAGTTTTTGTTTGTTTCAAAATTCAAAAGCTTTTAAACATCTAAGCATTAAAATTCCTTGTTTACAAAAGCTCTAGATCTATTTTAAAATTTTACTGAAAATATTGTTTTCTCATAATTTTAGGCTGCAAATCATTTACAAGATTGTGTCCTTCAGTTTATTTCTTCAGTTACATAACATTTTGTGAAAATCACCAAGAAAACCTTCCAGATGGACTTCAATACTTTTCATGTACAAAAGTATATTATGTTATTTAGATAATAGTGCTCTATTTGAAAATTTTACTGAAACTCATCATTTTTAGGTTGCAGAGCATCTCTCAAGATTGTCCTTCAGTTTGTTTCTGCGTTTACATAAAAAATCACAAAAAAATAAATATGATGGACTTTGATATTTTTTCTGTGAACGAGGTCTATAATGTAATAGATAATAGAGGTATGCAACAAAGATGGGAAAGTTTAAAGTTTTGTCGGATGATATTCAGTTACCTATCCAAATGCAGTAAACTGTCATGCCTGTGCTCGGTACCGAATGCACTATCAATCAGAGCCGACAGGTAACAATGTCTACCCTCAATTCATTGTAAGAATATTTCAACAGATGAAATACATATACCCCCCCCCCAAAAAAAAAACCCAACCCCAGTCTATTTTACATTGAAAACAAATGAACAGTTGCAATTGAATACGAAAATAAGGCTCAGATGACGAAGACAGCTTCACGCTTCGTTGAGTGAAGAGGCCATCGGCATTTTCCCAAGCTTTCCTTGCGACCTCTAGCTGTGACCTCTGTATGAATTCATGTGCAAAAGCCGAATAAACAACTACCATGAAATTATCTAGTCATATGCATTCGTTTGAAATCGAAATAAATGCAGCACAATAACTAGGTACTTAATGTTTAACTTTTAAATAGCCGATTACAGATTCGCATGCGGAAACTCTGACCGGCTGATCGATGAATATTCATGAGGTCACCTAGTGTCGTCTTTCCAAAGATTTTCTGTATGTATACCTCCTATCAAATTTCAACATTGCCAGATCTTTCGATAATTATCTTCTTCATATTCAACACAACAAAACCTAAAATAAGACACAGGAATCATGCAAAAAGCGCAGGAAAGATATTTTTCCACCGACAGAGACGGCTATGCCATTCCATGCCCTACACAAGTCTACATAATCACATAATAACAACGTTTACTCCAACAATTCTGCCAAATTATTGAAACATAATATTAATAGTAACATCATTACAAAATTGAGTTGAAAATTACTTCAGTTATCAATGCATATTTCCAAAATTCTCTTAAACATACCTGTTGTGAAGCTTTCACCTTGGACGACGCCATCTCTCTTCTGTCGGTCACTGAAAGAGGGCTCTGTAGTCGACCAATCAAACGTATTCTTGTAAATTACGTCACACTAAAATAAGGAATGTGTTATTCATTAAAAAAACACCCGTTTAATTTTTGAAAACGTAGGTCTGCATTCCTATACATTCATAGCAAGCACAGATAAAGTTGTAAAATGAAATTTTCTTCGTGTAGATATTTAAGCAGCTCTTCATATTTCGCAATAAAGTCACGTGACGTGAAAATGGCGACGACCCTAAGGCACCGCCCAACCTCATATATAGGAAGCGCCGTGAATGTCACCTTGTGTTTTTAATAAGCATGAGTTATGAGTGACTAGGTTGTAAAGTGCAATTAGTGCAAGTGAGACACAATAAGATTACCTTAAGGCATGTGGAAATTTGCATGCACAAGGAAATATAACTGTGTCAATATAATTCGATCAATACCCCGACATCATACGATTCGTGCATGTGTAGAAAATAAAAGCTTTTGATGTGACCAGACTTCGTTTATTTTTGCTACTTACAGTTGTTGGATCTTGAAGTTAAATGGCGTGCTTTACAGATACTCTACATATAGGTCTATCTGTCTATTTAGCAATTAACTAATTTCGCAATGTATGTATTTAGCCGACATGCATATTTCGTAATTTATTTCTTGACGCTATAACAGTATATGCTGCTATGTGTAATATATAATGTATCTATTTGTTCACGTACTGAGTTGAAGAATTTTCCGGATAAGCGTCAAAACACTTTTTGTTCATGTAGACAACCTAGAAAACAACAAACGTATCTCGGAAATATAAATTCATCTAATTAAGGATATGCATAACAGAAAAATAACTGGGATGGAATATTATTGTATTCATTACTGAGGATATTAGCCTCTTAAACTGAATTTCATGTATGTGCTTCCAATATTAAACTGCGCTAATTATGAAACGTACATATATAAATAGTTTAAAAAAGTGTGTAATTTTATTAGGTTAGGTCGATACAGGGAAATGCAGGCCTTTTAAAAATCCTTGGACAGTATATATTAAACTCAAGGAGACTGTGATCGCTGTTATATATATAGACCCAATAAATATTCAGCCATTTACTTTTGACCTTGCAATTTATTGGACCCACGACTGTTATATTTTACTCCATCTACTTTACCTGGAGGCATGTCAGAAGACTGGAAGAGCCCACGGCGACAGACATTATATCACATGTATATGCACTGGTTGTCACCTAGTGCTGAAGGCACACAATCGGCTGTTGTCGTAAGGGCTTCACAGACGGAGAACCCTTTGTTATAAACTTACACACATTTATTTTCTTCATCTATCTCAGAGACTTTTAAAACCAGTAAATATACTGTATAAGTGCTAATCTACATCTTACTTTTACTTTATTTTCTTAATTTAGCTCAGAGACGTATACAACCTTTTTATACGTCTCTGTTTTCTCAGTTGGTAAGTATGGCCCTTTAATGTATGTATAGGCCTTTTATTAGTGCTAATATACACCGTATTATTTTTGGCAATTTATTTATTGCATTATGGACTGTTAGAAGACCTCCTTTTGTCATTATCTCTCATCTTTATACGTAAATCTGTTGTCAGGTGGTTTTGAAAATTGCGTGTGTACCTCTCACAAGGTTAGTGCTACAGGATGGTCCTATTACTAATGTACGTGTGTCCTGATCTCCTGCACTACTGACGAAGGGAGGTATAAAACGGGTATTGTCTTATATATATAGAATTAGTGTCAGCTGATTTAGGCTGTACACTGCATACAATAGTAAAGAAAATACTTCTTGTAAGTCGTAGTGTAAATAACAAGGGCTCAATACCGTTCCCATTGGATAGTGAACTATTCTCTTGTTACCTCGACAATCGCGGTTCCCCTCTGTACCTCATAACTGANTCCTCTGGACCTCAATACTGATCCCCTGTGTACCCCCACACTGTTTCCCTATGTACCACACACTGTTCCCCTATGTACCCCACACTGTTCCCCTCTGTACCTCGACACTGTTCCCCTCTGTACCTCATTACTGATTCCCTGTGAACCCCCTCGCTGTTCCCCTATGTACCCCACACTGTTCCCCTCTGTACATCGACATTGTTCCCCTTTGTACCTCATTACTGATCCCCTGTGTACCCCCACACCGTTCCCCTATGTACCTCGACGCTGTTCCCCTCTGTACCTAAATACTGATCCCCTTTGTATCCCCACACTGTTCTCCTCTGGTCCTCAATACTGATCCCCTGTGTACCCCAACACTGTTTCCCTATGTACCACACACTGTTCCCCTATGTACCCCATACTGTTCCCCTCTGTACCTCGACACTGTTCCCCTTGTACCTCATTACTGATTCCCTGTATACCACCAAGCTGTTCCCCTATGTACCCCACACTGTTCCCCTATGTACCCCACACTGTTCCCCTATATACCCCACACTGTTCCCCTATGTACCCCACACTGTTCCCCTCTGTACATCGACATTGTTCCCCTTTGTACCTCATTACTGATTCCCTGTGTACCCCCACACTGTGTCCCTATGTACCCCACACTGTTTCCCTCTGTACATCGACACTGTTCCCCTCTGTACCTCATTACTGATCCCCTGTGTACCCCCACACCGTTCCCCTATGTACCTCGACGCTGTTCCCCTCTGTACCTAAATAATGATCCCCTTTGTATCCCCACACTGTTCTCCTCTGGACCTCAATACTGATCCCCTGTGTACCACCACACTGTTTCCCTATGTACCACACACTGTTCCCCTCTGTAAATCGACACTGTTCCCCTCTGTACCTCATTACTGATCCCGTGTGTACCCCCACACTGTTTCCCTATGTATCCCCACACTTTTCCCCTCTGTACATCGACACAGTTCCCCTCTGTGCATCATGCCTGATCCCCGGTGTACCCCTACACTTTTCCCCTCTGTACCTAAATACTAATTCCCTTTGTACCCCCACACTGTTCTCCTCTGTACCACAATATTGTTCCCTTTGTACCTCAGTACTGTCCCCTTTGTACCTCAGTACTGTCCCCTTTGTACCTCAATACTGTTCCCTTTGTACTTCAATACTGTTTCCTTTGTACCTCGATATAATGTTCCCTTTGTACCTCGACAACGTTTCTCGAACTTTGACAATGTCGCCTTTGTACCGCGACCATGTTCCCCTGTTTATATCGATATCACCACCCTGTGTACCTCGATAAAGTTTTATGAATGACACAGCGTCCTTTTCACAATACACCAACCTCCTTGATATAGGCCTACTTCACCTCTTACCGAAAACACGTCATAAGTTATGGTGATATCTGTTCTATAGCTATGGTACACTAGTCTCGCTTAACCTGACAGCTCCTTACCATAAAGGTCGGTGAACGGGACGGAGGGGCCTGCGAATTAATTACATTATGTATATTATGACACATTGTTACGTGAACTAAAATACTCTAAAGGTGATTCGATAAAATTACCCTACGTTGATAATATGTATAACTACAAATCTCTCAAAGTCTAAACAATGTCCTCATGTAAGTTTCTTGTTGCAAAAGTCACATTTTGCAAACATGTATTGCATCGTTTATAGATGGAATATTTTTCTTTCAACACACCTTCTTAATAACTCACAATGTGTTCTAGCTCCTTAAGCAGGAGACGCAATCTAAGCTTTCCTCTAATAATTAACAAACAGATACAGGTTGACCCTGTAAGTGAACCCTGGATGTTTGGGGAAATAATAGACGTGCTGTATCTCACCCCATCCCACGACTAATGTGCTCACACATCACAGATTACAGAATCGGGGGCAATTTTTTCTTTATTTGTTGTATCCGTCACTGCATGTATATCGTTAAAGACGGAAGATGTGGGCCTACTGCTGGATAAGGGAGGTGATAATGTTCGCCTGTGTCGTCTACTAAGAAGACATCGAAGGGACAAACATCGATCTGTTATCCCTTTTGTGATCTTTTCTTTTCTCCTCTCCTTTCCACTCTTTCTTTCCTTTCAATCTATCCTCGACTGTCGTTCTGGCAGTGTCTTTCTTGGTATCATTCCTAATACGATCCTAGGTGTTGCAAGGACGTCACAGTTTTCCGTCTTTGCGTATTGCAGAGTTATCTGCTCTTGTGAGCAGGTATTGATTGTTACGTCATTAGTTTGTGGGAGAAAATTACGTCGTTTTCACAAAAATGTATGACGATACTCTCAAAAGCAAATGACCTAAAAATCAATACCTCCTCACAAGAGCAGATAACTCTGCAATACGAAAAGACGGAATACCCAAACTAACAACAGTAATTAATCCCCAGGGTCCTGTAGCTGAGAGGTATAAGCGGTCCCAACTGAACTGTCACAACTCTGAGAAGTTGTTTAATGTTTTCTGTATTTAACTTTAATATTGTAGTTAAAATCGAACTCATTGTGAATTTGAAATATTCCATTTTGAAAAAGGTCGCAGACTACTGTTGGTAGTTTGTGATTTTAGTTTACGTTATAATTTCTTCCAATAAATTCACGTTATAGATTGTACGTGATGTGGCATGCTGTCCTGTGTATGGTGTTGCTGTTTGATACGTATGCAATGGCATACATAACATCTTATATATATATATATAGTTACCGTCTATATTACTTCTTTGACCCATATATATATAGTTACCGTCTATATTACTTCTTTGACCCATATATATATAGACAAATACAGTATCGTATTAAGTTATCAAGTTAAAACTAGGTAATCATATAAGCATCCCTGTATTACTACCACAACTGTAGCTAGGAGCACGGACTTATCTAATTCCGTGCTATTAGTTGGAAACTTTCTTTCATGTCTGTTTCATTGATAAATCATTTATGAAAATAAAACCAGACATTTCAGCACTTTTATGAAAAGATAACAAAGATGAAGAAAAAATAGAGGAAAAATAAATCGATATTGTTCTGAATGTAGAGATACAATGGGGTTAGACATTGGTTCGAATCCAGGACCTCCGACCAGTCTGTCGCCCTAACTAAATTAACTAACTTATACACTGGATCAGTTCCT